ATACCTTCTGTACATCCAGGTCCAGTAGCCAGTAATTGGTGAGGAAGGCTGTAGGATACCTTCTGTACATCCAGGTCCAGTAGCCAGTAATTGGTGAAGAAGGCTATAGGATACCTTCTGTACATCCAGGTCCAGTAGCCAGTAATTGGTGAAGAAGTCTATAGGATACCTTCTGTACATCCAGGTCCAGTAGTCAGTAATTGGTGAAGAAGTCTATAGGATACCTTCTGTACATCCAGGTCCTTTAGTCAGTAATTGGTGAAGAAGTCTATAGGATACCTTCTGTACATCCAGGTCCAGTAGCCAGTAATTGGTGAGGAAGGCTGTAGGATACCTTCTGTACATCCAGGTCCAGTAGCCAGTAATTGGTGAGGAAGGCTGTAGGATACCTTCTGTACATCCAGGTCCTTTAGTCAGTAATTGGTGAAGAAGGCTATAGGATACCTTCTGTACATCCAGGTCCTTTAGTCAGTAATTGGTGAAGAAGGCTATAGGATACCTTCTGTACATCCAGGTCCATGGTGAAGAAGGCTATAGGATACCTTCTGTACATCCAGGTCCAGTAGCCAGTAATTGGTGAAGAAGTCTATAGGATACCTTCTGTACATCCAGGTCCTGTAGCCAGTAATTGGTGAAGAAGGCTATAGGATACCTTCTGTACATCCAGGTCCTGTAGCCAGTAATTGGTGAAGAAGGCTATAGGATACCTTCTGTACATCCAGGTCCAGTAGCCAGTAATTGGTGAAGAAGTCTATAGGATACCTTCTGTACATCCAGGTCCAGTAGTCAGTAATTGGTGAAGAAGTCTATAGGATACCTTCTGTACATCCAGGTCCTTTAGTCAGTAATTGGTGAAGAAGTCTATAGGATACCTTCTGTACATCCAGGTCCTTTAGTCAGTAATTGGTGAAGAAGGCTATAGGATACCTTCTGTACATCCAGGTCCAGTAGCCAGTAATTGGTGAAGAAGGCTATAGGATACCTTCTGTACATCCAGGTCCTGTAGCCAGTAATTGGTGAAGAAGTCTATAGGATACCTTCTGTACATCCAGGTCCAGTAGCCAGTAATTGGTGAAGAAGTCTATAGGATACCTTCTGTACATCCAGGTCCTGTAGCCAGTAATTGGTGAAGAAGTCTATAGGATACCTTCTGTACATCCAGGTCCTGTAGCCAGTAATTGGTGAAGAAGGCTATAGGATACCTTCTGTACATCCAGGTCCAGTAGCCAGTAATTGGTGAAGAAGTCTATAGGATACCTTCTGTACATCCAGGTCCAGTAGTCAGTAATTGGTGAAGAAGTCTATAGGATACCTTCTGTACATCCAGGTCCAGTAGTCAGTAATTGGTGAAGAAGGCTATAGGACACCTTCTGTACATCCAGGTCCTTTAGTCAGTAATTGGTGAAGAAGTCTATAGGACACCTTCTGTACATCCAGGTCCTTTAGTCAGTAATTGGTGAAGAAGTCTATAGGATACCTTCTGTACATCCAGGTCCAGTAGCCAGTAATTGGTGAAGAAGGCTATAGCATCTTCAAGCCATTATGATTAAGGAGGAAGCCAACTTGATGTGTATTGATTTGGTCAGATATTTTTAGGCTGTTCCCATCAAGCTTGTAAGTAATATAACCAGGTTAAGAGTTATTGTAATGTCAAGGTCATACTATAATAAGATCAAGCTCATACTAGGACAAAAGGTAGGGAATTCAAAACCTTTAAACTAAGACGTATTCTATTTCGATTTGATTTTATAGATATTTTTTGTGACCATTCAGCTTGGACCGGTTAGGACCAAAATTAAAATGTTTCTGTACTTTGTTTATGTTGGTAAGTTTAGGAGGAAAATATATATGATAATACTGTTGTGTGATTAGTGTAGTGTTGTTACAGTAATATACCAATGTGTACATAGACTCTGTTGTCAATATATAGAGCTTACATAACAAGCGAGTCCATTACTGCATTTGATCCAATAAGGTTTATAAGTTACAGTGTTGTCATATCTATGTATTAAGTTTGAGGGGGTGTTGTCAAGCATATACAAGTAAATTTGAATATTTTTGTTTTCATCATCTGTTGGTAGCTTTTGGCTTCCAATGGTCAGAAGTGAAAAGTGGCACCTGACATTGTCTCCAACAGTTGACAAACAATATCGGCACCTAGCAACAAATGTTCTGGAATTAACACACAAGGAAATTATATACCCTAGTTTGAACAAGTTGACATGCCACTGCTGATATTTTGAGGTATGAGTGAACCAAAACATAGATCTGTGTTTTTACTGGTAGGTGCTGTCTTTCAATTCAGCTGTATTTTGATAGGACCAAGAATCTTTCATTAAATGTGTGATCTCATTGATTGTCAATAAACTTCTGCCACACTTAAATGACATCACTTCAAATGCCTTTTTGGTTTGGTCTGCTTTGGTTAGTATGTCACCAAATCATAGTTGTCTAGTTACAGTACTGTTCCTTTTCATCATGGCACATGTGACAACATTGTGAATGACGACAGACACTGTTGTGACAGGTTTGGCATTAACCCAGTGTACAGACTGGAGATGTGTCAAGTCAGCAGCTTCTGTAATGTCACACCTCTTGTTTTAATGACACAAATCACTCTTAATATGGTTGTACATGGGTACTTGATACTATATATCAACATACAATTTATTAATTTAAAAAAAGATTATTTCTACATAAACTTAAAAATATTTGATGGTTTAATATTCTCTTAACACCAAGGGAGGCAGAAGAAAATTTTGGAGTATTAACATATATGATGTCTTATCTTATTGCCCATTACATCTTTTGTTTTCTTTTATTCAGAACACGCCAGTTTCAAAGAAATGGGCATATTAAACTGCCCATATGTTCATGATATCTTAAAATTAATAACTATCTCAAAGCACATGAACATTGAACTGGATGTATAATCTCTGCAATCTTGTAATCTGTTGCTGTGACTGTGACAAGGTTGAGGGAGGTTGACCAATCGCTTGTGATATGCTTTCTCTGGGGTTTCATTAGAGTAAAAGACTTGCAGGAATCTCGACACCATATACAGACTCTTATTGCTGCTGGCACCATGCCAATTTCAGACCAATTTCTTTTCTTTTCGTGTGTTATGGATGAGTCTGCACGAAATTCTTTGAAAGTATAATGAAAATAAAGTGATATTTCATTTAGAATATACCCTCATTGTGATAGATTTTGTAGGTTTATTTTGACTGATATATTTTTAACTATTAAGACTTTCCTTTTCTTGGCCAAATATTCATTTACTCTTTCAATTTAATCTAACAATGATGCCATTCTGATTTTGACATATTTTGCCTCCTTCTTTCCAAGAAAGTCTGCAAGAACAGATACCGCAACCTACCTGATCATGGCACTGACAAGTTTCAAGCTAAACACAAACAATTTTCTTCTTTTACCCTGTCAGCTGCATTGTTTGGTTTTACATGCCACATGCCCTTTGCCAAAGTTCTCCTTTGTGTACACCCTTTATATATCCTTTATGTTAATAACACATGAGTGTGTTCGACACTGTCTGTTATTGTCGGTGTTCAGCGTTCCTGACAATGTATTGTTTCACCAGGGCTATCTGTATTTTCTCATAGTTGGGACGTGCTGCATGAGTTACAGTACTTAAACAATACATTTGTTGTTTAGAAAGAATTCTGGCTCCAAGTTCCTGCCCAAACTATTTTTGTAAAAACATTCTGACACTCTCATAGTAGGTTAACATCTCTTAAATCGAGCCCTGCACTGTCTGTTAGCATTACTATTTTTTAAATAATTTTGTTGCCCCATGTGAACATTCTACCATGAATTTTTAAATACCTTATTATTAGTCAATCAGAGGTTCCAAATCAAAGTACATGTAATCACTGCTGATCAAAACAGCTACGTGTTTGGTACATGTACTAGAAATACGTGTAAAATTAAGAGAGAATGTTCTTAGAAAAAACCTTGATTTGACCCAAGTGTATTTTTGTTTGCTATGAAGAGTAATAAATTGTAATTAATATCTGGTGTATGTTTACACTTAAATGAGCTGCCTCATATAATACATAACCCTTACACAATAAACAACATTGTGTTCTGTGTGGTGTAAAGATATATATACACTTAAGACAAGACATTATATATAATGTTGTTGTTCCAATTTCCTTTTTTGGTCTTTTATTACACAAACACATGCCAACCCTGTTTTTCAGGAAGATTGAGTCTATTTCCGAAATTGGAATAGAGATTGAGGGTATGATGGAAAGGTTGCTGACAATTCTTTCCTGTCGATGGTTTGATTTGTTGTTGTAGACATTGCATCCTCGGACTGGTTCAATAGTCCTTACAAACATATTTCATTCCGAGGATTCTGAATTCAAGTTTTTGTGGCTTTAAACAGCTGACATCACATGACTGGTTAACTGATGTTGAGGACATATACTGTACAACGGAATTTGACCTTGGTAATGCCAAGGTTGATAAGTATCTCCAGTGAAGTAGTATGTACCTAAGGCTCAGGTCACTTGACATTTATTCGTGTGGTGGGGGTTTATAATTGGGAAGGTCCCCGTAAGTTATTGTCCAATGAAACTGTAGATGCCAGACTTAAGTCATTGTCTACAGCTCTGATACTGGCCTCCATGGACTTGGAACCACATCATGTTTTTAAGGCCTTGCATTGTTTTTCAGCGAAATGTTGTATGTTCTTTTTTCAGGTGTTGACTTGATGCTATTTATGTCCAGCAACAATTTTGATTTCTGGCTTTTCAAAACATTCTTTGGCAAGTGGATGTTTTTATGATTTTTTTTTTTAAATATTGTGTTTGGTCTTTTACTTAGGAATGTCCATTTGTAATAATTTGGGATTGCGCTATACTCTTTGAGCAAATTCTTTTATTAAAGCTATCAAGAACAACATAAATACATTCTTTCTATCTGTGTAAAATGGACGAACAAAGTTTTGTGTATTTGTTTTGTCTATCCTTTGACAGTTTCCCACTCAGAGATTTGCACGGAAAGCCTCCTCTGCCAGCTCTCTGCGACTTAGTCCGCCAAAGGTCAGAATGACCTTGAGATGGTGAAATGCGTTATGGGGCATGATTTTTTTTTCTGCATGAAATTTATCTTCTTTTTTTATCATGTTGTAATTGAAGTGAGAGAAACGGAGCTTTATCCCCTTTGTGGTAGAGCTTTATCTCCTGTGTGGTGGAGCTTTATCCCCTGTGTGGTGGAGCTTTATCCCCTGTGTGGTGGAGCTTTATCCTCTGTGGTGGAGCTTTATCCCCTGTGTGGTATGTGGTAGTGGATGTTTTTTGACCATCTGTAGTATCTAGGGTAGCGTTTCATGTTACCTCACAGGTAGTGTCGAGATTTTCTACCTTTTCATGTCTCACGTCCTTGCTGCATGGCATTCTAGTTAGACTGATTGAGGAAGTATTTGCAACAAAAGGTTCTGTCTTATTGATGTGAGGTATAAGTCTTCATTTCAGCCTGTTATCTGTCATAAATGCTTGATTATTTACAGTAAAAGTTTCAAGATATCAGTCAGTGTTTGTAAAAATATTTTCATAAGGTAGCATAGTCTAACAGCTTTTCCTACTCACAACTAATTTAAATTTCTGTCTGGTCCCATTATCTTATTACGCCTCATACAAGGCAGGAACCCTGGTGTCATCATTATCTTGTGGAAACTATCAGGAAAATTTGTTATTGCCATACTTAAAATACAATGTATGTAGAAATCAGGGATTCTGTTCTAATCGCTGTACCACTATTGCTGCGGTTTGCCTGGTCCAAGCCACACCATAACCTACTGTCCTATAATGCTCACAGTGGTGTTAATGCTTTAATCAATCTTGGCTGGGGAACTGGTTCAACAAGTATTTTGAATATTGCAACCACAATGAAATGCTTGTACATGGTAAATACCCTCTTGGAATATTTAAGTGATGTAATAACATATTACTTGACTGTCCTAAAGCCTGTTCTACAAGAAAACTCATTGTACCACAACACTTCAATATAGACCAATAATTGTTGAAGAACTGGGATATATTTTTCGGAATAGGTTCTTCGACTGGTCGCAGTATAAAATTATCAAATTAATGAATGTGTGCATTTTTTTAACAATTGTTGAGACCGATTTCAAATACCTCTGATTGTTTTTTTTTGTATCTTTGTTCCCATATTGTTGAAGTGTGAGAGTGGCCTCCCCTGATGGCCTTCTCCAGCTGCGACCCTGCATGTCGAGCTCTTCATGTCCCATCTTGTCCTTTCAGGTGTATGTGGCAGCAGGAAGACAGTAAATATGGGACAAGCTTTCAGTCTGTGTGACTTCCCAATTTACTGTGTACTGTAACTCTTCATATCACTCACTCACTCACACACTCACTCACTCACCCTGTCAATTCATCTGCTGCACTTTGTTTTGTATCACAATCCATATTGCAAATAACATTTATGTGCAAACAGTCAGCTGTTAGGTGCAATTTCTTGAATTGATATTGAATCAGTTTGAAACAACTGAATATTTATGTGCAAATGTTAACGGAACAGAGGTTATTACGTGATAGTGTTCGTACAAGTGAGTATGTATTTGTGACAGTAGCTGGGAATCATTCTGGTATGCAACCTAGTAGGAGACTGTATACAGTTGTATTCTCACATGTATTTCCACAACTACTACAAGACAGGCTGTAGTGTAGGAAACAGGATATTAAACAGGAACTATATCAGATGTTCCCTCTCAGTTGGAATTACTGGGTACAGTATAGCATCTTGTGTACTGAATACCCTGCTGATTAATCTCAAAACTACAAAATGTAATACCAAGCCAACCTTTTATTCCATTTTTCTGGGAAGGATACCCAGCCACCTATACTTGTCATAAGCAGCGAACTATTGGCTTGTGGTGGCTTGGTTGAATGAATCACTGGCTTGTCTGGTTGGTGTCCTACAGGTTGGTGTCACAGCTGGAATATTGCTGAGTGTCAACAATAACAAACAAAACAAACTTAATCACATAACTTTCGTTGATCAGTATATGTCAAATCTACCAAAATTAAACATACAATATTCGGATAAAACCACATGTGTGAATAAATTTGACATCAAACCTCCACCAATATTTGTGTGTTAGTGTAAATAACATGACATAGAGAGAGATTTGAGTGGAGCCAAGCCTGAGGGATGCAGCGAGGCTGGTGGAGATGCTGTAGGTCAGGAGGCTGCAGTGAGGACTCCCTGGTGTCACGCCTGTATTTTACAGCAGCTTCTGTCACTTTGTTTCCACCAAGATGTATTTGGGACCAAACATGGCAGTTTCTACATGAAAGAGTTCCAGTGTTGTTGTAATGGATGTACAGTTACGCAACTGAAGACATTAGTGTTAAAATGTGTTAATGTCATGTTGACAATATACAGTGAACTACCTCGTTCCATTCTTGTTTCCACCGCCTCGACCAGCAGTATTTCCATATAGCACTGCAACCCAGCCTAGTAGTATTTGTAATATGTGTAAATACCTGTGAATGTACTTGTGGAAATACTTATGAAAGTATTTACCGTGTTCGCTGTAATATGCACCCCAGGGACTGAGAAAATGTGGAAAGAGGTTACGAAAACAGATAGATAAATTTGTTGTTACAGCTTGAGTGGTAGTGAACACACTAAGTGTTAGTCAGTCGAATGAAAAAATATTGATACAAGATACAGTAAAAACTGGAAAATCATATTCCGCTTCTCCACTTGATGTTTCTGTAAAAAAAATCTTCCTTAGGCACCAGAAATAACTGTTTAACATGTAGACTTTAGCCCTTACACAGATAACTGTTTGGTCTGCTGGTGAGGGGTGCTTATTGCAGCAGGACACTTAATACAGCAAATACGGTAACTGTAGATTATGGAAACATCTATGAAAATGCTTGTGGAATGTGGATATACTTGTGGAATTACATCAGCAGTGTTGTTTATAGACAAGTGATTTCTTTTGTTTCTCTTGCAGTGGTAAAGGTAACTTGCCGGTTCTGTGTTTCTTCACATCTTCATTACAATGTGTACTTCTGCATGCCTTTCTCAGTATTTTATGTTTGGTATGGATGGAAATTGGATGATTGTTCTTTGTATAAATTTGAAGATTTTAGTTTTGTTATTCAGAGAGACAGATAATGATTGTTGCTCATAGACTGTGTCTTCACAGACAATATGTTGTTGCAATGTTAATGCAGATATATACAGTATTAGTACAATATTCAAACCATGAAGCAGTTTTTTTCTAATTTTGGCTTGTCCTTGAAGGACAAAACATCAATATTTGTTTAATTAACACAGAAGTTGAGATCAATGTATCTTGTGGGTCTTTGACTCACCAGCTTGTAATACAAGATCTCATCAGAAAATGTTCGAGTATGTTTGAAGCACCTTTTCATCTTCTTTCATTATTGATTTCAATATAAGTTGATGCAAGGGACAAAACTCCTGCAATCTTAAAGTTAGATGGATTGGATAAAATTATTTGGAATAATATCACATATGGCGATAATCAACATTTTCTAAAGGAATATACATTTTAGAATTGGACATTACTAGGTGACAAGGAAATACTTAATCTGTTTTGGATGTTTAGCTATTGTTTCCATTTTTTATACAGAGCTGTTATCTTTAGCCCGACATCTTTAATTATAATGTATTGTCATATTATATAATGCGATTGTTGGCCCATTTCTCCAAGCAATCTTAGTGTTATGATTGTTATTAGTGTTAAACATTCTTTTGTGGAACAGTTGCTGTAGCTTCACAATCAAACCCAGTTCATTAAGTCATTTTGTTCCATGTATTTCAGAGGATCCGCAGTAAGGGTGCTTCAGCTTCATCTCCGAGCTCCCCGGTCCACCAGCGCCAAAACCAACCCGATGGCGCTTCGCCATCATGTGACTACCCTGATGGGTCCGTGTCCCGATGTAGCCCGGGGCGTCACCCCATCCCCCACACATGCCCCACCCCCGGGCGAGAGGTCCATCATATGACGTCCTTCAAGCCTCCTGATGACGTCATGGACCGTAGCGGTTATCGATACTCCGCCATGATCAAACCACCATCAGAGAATTCTATGTATGACAATGTTACGGGTTCTAGTCTGCAGAGGTCTTCCGCTGCTCAAGACAATAGATTATTACACAGGAAGTCTCTGCCCACATGCTCATCTGCCACGTCCTCCCCAGTTCGAAGTTTGGACGAAGGACGTCCAGCTTCCGCCATTTCTTCAATCACTTTGGACACATCGGGGAGTCCATGCCATTCCAAAGGTCAACAGAAGGTGGAAAATTTTGGGAATGGTGTTGTAATTGTGGACCATGTTAGTATAGACTCGCCAAAACGAGACAACGTGCATATAGAGACAGCTTTTGTAGGTGATGTAGGCAATGGAGCTAGCCGTCCTACTAGTAGTATGTCACAAGGAGCACGCTTGACAGTTGATACATCTGCACCAGGTGCATCACGGAACACGTCTTCCTCGGAGTCTCCTGAATGGCCTTCACCTCCTGAGCCCCTGACTCCCCAAACCCCATTGACTCCATTGTATAACATGGAGTTTGACAGTGACACTATTCAACGCATGCTTCGCTCGCTTCCTGCTTCTCCTGTCGAGAAGGATGACCAGGGGTTCCATGATGACCCTAACTTTCATGACGGTAACGACCACCAGGGTTCCAGAAGAATGAGTGGACTCACCAGAACGAAAAGTCTCAATGTACATGATCGCAATTCCCGTCTTTCAATGCGTACAAAACCCATGCCCGAAGAGCCGATACACATCCCAGTTACCAAACTCCCGGAAGTACCAAAGTCGAAACAGCTGGCGAAGATCCTGATAGAGCAAGAGCTGCTTCTACGGAACCAATGTGCCGCCAGCACCTACCCTGACAGTGGCATTGGAGGCATGGCTGGAGAAACATCTGGGTCACTCATGTCAGAAGACAGCGGGCGCTTGGCACAGTTCAAAGGTAGGGCATTTTATTTATATACCATCTTGTATTGTTTAACACAGCCTCAGGGAGACTCTACATTTGGACATTGTTCATGTATTATCATGGGTCCCACTGGCCCAGTGGTTAAAGCCGCTACAGCTAGCATTACACATGTCATAATCCCCTTATTGGGGATTTAAATCCCAGTTCCATCCACTAGATGATCACCACCATAAGTGTTCCACTGGATTCTATACATATCTCAGCAAGGAGCTTTTCTCAAACTAAAATGGTCGGCTTTCAAAGGTACCTTAAGCCAAGTTATCAGCCACCAAAGATCAGAGTTCTGTTATTCTGCTGCAGCCATACATTGGCGCCAATGGTCAGATAAATAAGGAAGACAAGAAGCACATGCAGAGTTGCGTCTTATACAGAAATATGTATGACAGTGTGTGTTAAGTCTACTAGCCCCGACTTCCTCTGCAGTTAGTAGATATTAATCTCAGTACATTGACTTGTACAAACAGATCTTACCAAGACATAACATATACCACAGCCCCAGGGCCTAGATTTTCCGAAACTCTCTTGGCGCTAAGATAGTCGTAAGTGTCGTAATTTAACATTACCTAGCCATAAGATACACCACTGGCCCAGACTTGTGACCAGTGGCATAAGTCACAGACTGCTGTAATTCGTTAAAATGTAAATTTCTGCACAAAAATGATTTCAACTTAAGTTCAGTCCAGGGAATTACGTGTAAACGTGTATCTGTAGATGTTGTTGTGTAGAGGATCACCCTGGTGTTTCATGTTCCAGAAACAGGTCATTAATTCCAGCTAAATCACTTATAGTGCAGTTACCAAAGCCTAGGTTGTATTAAACCTTTCATTTCACAAACTCGCAGCAACAATAAAAGTTGATTTGTTTTGAATACTTCTAAGAAGTGTTTACCCAATAAAGATAAATGGTATTGCATGGCACGATATATGTGCCGATCAATCGCTGTCAATTATACACATGAAGGGGGCTTCTGTTGAAGAAGATGCAGAAACGTTGGATAACAGTTTTATGTCTTGCCCTCAGGCTGTTACGCTATGCGTTGACAAGATTTACTTGTTTTTCATCCATCTTTTATTTTGTTAATATTGATTTAGTCATTGAGGGTCTTAAAAGCATTTCTCTGTTTTGCAACAAGTCTCCCCACTACACATTGGCTGCTTCTGTGCCCCTGCCGTTGTTTAACTATGAGTGGCGGTAACACGTCTACCCATAAGCCTCGCTGTTCATTATTATTCTGATCATCAACATGAATCATAATAGTTGTACGAAAAATATTACAGCAGGAATTCCTATTTGTGAGATGGAATATTGGCAATGTGCCCAATACGTTGGATAACTATTTTTTATATAGCTGTCAAAATTCTTCAAGACACTGATACATTGTTGTGAGGAAGATATTGTTTTTTTCCTGTAGTCTGATCTTAGTCTTTGAATTGCTTGTCCGTTTCTTTCTCCAGAATATATAGTTTGGCTGACTTCATTAAGTCATTCAGCTTACGTGACACTGGCAGAAAACAATAATATTACAAACAATGTGGCATTTCTGTCATTTTAATAGACAGGGTATTGTTATACATGTAAATTTTAGATGATAGACTATAATCGTGAACTAGAATTCGCCTTAAACAGAACCCAGGACCGCTTACATACTGAACGATGTACCATCTTCTCCAGCACAAGGAAGCTCCTACAACTGCAGTTATTATACGAAACTTAAACAAAACCTTAGCTTTAGTTGTTTTGTATTTAAAGAAATACAAAACTAATATAATCCCTCTTACTCTGTTTGTATTTAGTTAATATTATTATGATACTGTATAATTATGTTTACCCCGCTACAACTCTTAACTTAACAAAGATGTATGACATTAACTTTTAAATAAACATTTTTATTTTAAATGTATTTTTGTATTTCTGAATGTGAGTATAAAATAACATAGGTTTCTTTAAACTAGTCATTTCTGAGCATCATATAGCAAGATGTAGTATTACGGGTATATTGTGTTCTGTGGCAGTCCGCAGATCATAATTTCTGAACTGAGGGGGTAAAAAGAAAACGATGAAACATTGTAGAAAGCTGACATCTGAATGGTTAAGAACCCATGGATCCTGCACAGAAACTAGAGAGTCAAAGTATACCTGGCGCTACCTTCTATGATAGCATCATAAAATCCTCACTCTGATAGGTATAGGGGTAATAGATGTGATTTTACTGACATTGCCCTGGATCACCCATTGCACACAATACAGTATACATATGTCAAGTGGATATGGTTGATATAAATATATTAATTTGTTTACATACAATCCTTATGATGTCAGTATCTGAGTCATTTTGACATTGTTAAGGTATATACGCATATATGTTTGTCATTAAAAAGGGTTGGTGATAATATAAGAGTTATTTCCCTTGTATTATCGATCTACTTTTTAACATACTAAAATTTGTAAGGAAGCCTAATTTGAATAAGAAAATAATGACTTCATTCCACTTTTATGATATTTTGGGTTTGTAAAAAAAGTAACACATTATTGTTATTGTGTGTGATATCTCCCACAATCACCTAATATTCCCCACCGTCAGGGCCAATCAGAAGGAGCCAGACGGAGGGGACTGTGATCTCCCACTGCATGTCAGAGTGAACTGTCTTCTCCAACATGGAAAACATTTTCACAATCAATCAGTCTGAGCATAACATTGTGTTTTGGGGGCAGTTGATGTGATTAGCGCACAATCGTCACATCCCCCAACACAGCCTAATCTCTGTGCCTCGTCCTTGAGAGAGAAACCCCTGGAAAAAAATTGATTATTTTTTGTAAAACAGGTCTTTAGAGAGTTCTATAATGGAAGCCACAATTGATTGCCCAATAGAAGAGATTACTGCAGTTGTGCTGATTATGCAGAATGTGCACTCCTGGCGTATATCGCAGGACATTAGCAGTGAATCTGTATTCCCATACTGCCCTGCAGGTTGGCAAGGGTAAAGGTTCTTATGTGGTGGAAATGTTCGCCACTGTCTTAATCACTGATCTCCAGTCGTGCTGAGATCGTATTTCTGTTTTGATCTAAGCTGGTTTTGTAATGGCGATATTTCTGATCTGACACATACTAGGAGTGAAATGAAGATGCTGTGTCGATACACATGTGAAGCTTGGAGGTAATTGGAGAGAAAATTTGATTAATAAATCTAGAAACTTCACTGGCAATGGAAATTATGTTATTTTGGATTGATAATCAGTAGTTCAGTCTAATTGGGGACATGAAATGCTGACTATATGGGTTTGAGGGCAATTATCAGAGCAGTCTTCACTCACACCATAAATACATGATTGGATTACTGCAGCCATGGCGGAACATGGAATACTGAAACAGAGCTGGGAATTTTGAAATGTGTGATCAGTTTTAGGGGTTATGTTCAGTTTTACTTCATATGGAAAACAAATTCCAACAAAAAATAGTTTTTTCTTGTACTTCTCTACACTATTGTGATTTGCAGGATTTATGAACAAAATATTATCTCTGTTAATGATTAATCCACACATTCATCAAACACTCACTCTCTCACTCACTTGTTGTCCGTACTGAACATGAAGGCAACAGAAAAGGATATCAGTTATCAAAAAGTAGGATCATACACCATTGGAATCAATGAAATTGTTACCATGGTAATTTAGTTTGTCCTGGTTTAGCTCATGGCCATTAGACTGTAACAATGATTGCAATATCATACATCACCAGTATGTTGAGGTTAATCGGGAGGCAAATGTTATAACGCACATTAGTATGTAACCTGACTCCACAGCGATGACAGCTGTAAGTCTGGTGTTCTAGGGGCTGTAGGGCTGTCTTCATGCTACAACTGTGGTCTGTGAAGGCCACTGTTGTCCTGTGACTGTTGACAGCTGTAAGTCTGGTGTTCTAGGGGCTCTATGACTGTCTTCATGCTACAACTGTGGTCTGTGAAGGCCGCTGTTGTCCTGTGATGTTGACAGTAATCAGCTGGGATGGTTTAGTAGTGAGGATTATTTATGTAGTATCTGTGGAGATTGATCTAGGAGTGTCATTACTCGTACAATGGAGGAGGATTATGATTCTGTACAAACATTAATTGAATGTGTGTTTGCCAGCTTGGTTGGAGATACAGACCTTGATGGTTTGTGTGGTTATGCTTCATTAAGCCGTCAGCTATAAATGCCCTGACAGATTACCTGTAGTAATATGAAACATCAGATGTTCTTTAACTTCTGTGTTGTATTATACCACATGGGTTTGTTCATGTATTTCTGATGCGTTTTTTCTAAGGTATGATTTTACCAGTTTTAGGGAACCTCTTCTGTCCTCAAGCTAACACATAATTATGCATTCCTATGTGTCTCATTGTGTCCATTAGTTGTCATGTGATCAGCTGATTGAAATCTGTGTAAGAATGCAGAGCTTACAAAAGTATTGAGACAATCTCACACTGTAGTGTTGGTCTTGAGATGGAGAGTTGTCTGCCCCTGTGATTACATACTGTACTTGGTAACACAAAACCAAACATTTCCCCATTGACTTCTTTAGTAATGTTGGTTGTTTATTGAAATGAACTAAGCCCTCAACAGCTATTACGTGTACATGTGTGCAGAGTCGAGTCTTAAAGCAAGAATTAAAACAAAACAAATGACTCAACCCGTTCCTATTTCCGAGCACAGGAAGCCAAACAGACGAACTCTAGTTCCGCACAAAATGACACACCTTGATAACACCCAAGGTCACATTTAGTCATCATGTCAAAATAGGCTGCACTAAATATTGACAAATATGGTCAATTTTCATTACTGGATGGATGTACATTTTAAAAATGCAAGATCATCCAATCACAGCTGTCAGGCTCCCCCTATGAAAGGAGTTTGTTAAACTACAGACTCTGATATGGTGGAGTATAACCTCTATGCTCTGTCAAGTGTACTTTGGGGCGGCAGTGTTGGGGTAGCTG